CACAACGCCTGGGGTGCACACAGCCTTGGGCGCACACTCCTTGCCTGCGAACGGCAGCCCGGCCTCCCACCCAGAGGAAAAAGCGGCTCAGAGGGCCCTGGGGGGAGGGGCCGGACTGAGCGCTCCGGGACCACCACCACCTTGGTAGGCAGCTGGGCACCTGTGGGCCTGGAGCCTGCCTGGAGGAGATGGAGTTTGACGGTGAAGTGAGGCCCTGGGGATGGGATAGGTCCAAATGTGGGTATTTGAGCCTCACCCTGCAAAGAGGTTTTCCGAGCACAGCTGTGAACAGGACAGCCCTCCACCCTGAGGTGAGGCCTTGACCTTCCATAGAAGCCAGTGAGGGTGTTTTGTTTAGGACTGAGTGGGCTCAGGACTGGAGGCCCTGGATCCACACCTGGCCTTGCAGCCTCCCTGACTCCCACCTTCCCCAGGAGATGGAATTCTACATGCGGACCTTCAGCCACGTGCGCCCAGAACCTTCAGGCAGGGCCAGGCCAGCGGCAGTGTCTGCCAAGTGAGTGCAACTGGGCATCTCACAGCACCGACGGCTGTCCCTGGGGGAGGCAAGGGCCAGCGCCGGACCCAGCATGGCCTTGGGATCGATGGCCCTGCTTTTCCATAGGCAGGGAGGCTGTGCCGAACCTCCAGGAGGCAGGGGCTTGGGGAAGGCACCTGCGCTGCTCACCTGCCGCTTTCCCCGCAGTCCCTCCGGGGTGCTGGCTACACATGGCCAGTCGGGTCCTCCACTGCCCTCCTCCCCAGACGTTCTGGCCCTGCCTCCGGGGATCCGGCCCCAGGTAGGAGGGAATGTGCTGGGCCCTGTCCAGGTGGGGGCCAATGGAATGGGAAAGAAGACTCCCCGCTGCCGCAGCCTCTCTAGGCAATGTGGGGTGTGGGGAAGTGGCCCTTGGTCTCCTCTGTCGCTGCAGAAAAAGAGGAAGCGGCGCGTGTATAAAGTGCCTAAGTCTGGCACCTTGGACCGGGAGTCGTCGCTGCCCAGGCTGAGGGGTGAGCGCTCCTCCCTGGCGGGGTCCTGCTCCCGGAGTTCCAAGGGCGGGAAAGGCAGAGCCTCGTGTAGTCGCAGCCCCGGTCTCACGACCTTCCCCTCCCGCCCCATACTACGCAGGGCTCC